TGACATACCAGTGAAAGGAAAATGATAAACCCACTGAGAGTTACTTTCCTTCCTAGATAAGTTTTCATGTACCAGTTTGTCAAATACAAGATCGTCAGTAAAAAAAAATGGACACACTGCTGACAAATAGGTCCTAGTTAACACACACACACACACACACACACACACGGTCCTCAGTTTATTAGGTATGAAGTATAAAGAGATACCGTCTAGATCATTAGCAGAGACCTTGCGTTCAGAGTTGTGGCTAATTTTTATTTTCTTTATATATGTTTGGATTAAAAACTTTTTTGTACAATGAATATGTACAGTTTCAGTAATCAGTTATTAAGTAAAATCTAAGTTCATAATATTGTAGAAAATGTGAAAACAGCCTCTCTCTAATCAAGGAGCTTTCCCTAGTGCTACAGGAATCTCTTGTTAATGTCTTCCATCCAATTCACCACTAGCGCTATTTAGAAATAAGAAAAACAAATTTTTTTAACTCTATGATAGATCATAAAAAACCTGGAAAAGCCATCACTCATTTTCATTTTCTAAACACAAAAATAGAGAATTCTTTTCTTGAATGATCTGATTTATATGTATGCAAAAGCTCTCTTAGGAAATTAAAAGATTCTGTCATGAGGGTACAAATGTCAGTGCACAGTCAAATGTTAAGTAGCTTATTTCTTCTGTTCTAAAAACATAAGGCCTACAGTGTTACAATTTCTATTTATATCTTTCTTAAGATCAAATATAACTACCCTGGAAGTTTTTCTAATCACAATTTTTAAATCCGCAAAAAAATTTCTTCTTTGTGCAAAATTATTTTGTAGTTTTTATTTAGCTACAGTTTTATTTGCTTCCTCCAATAGAAATGCCATGTGAGAAAAGATTTTTGAGATAATTTGATACCCTCCCCCTTGAATGAGAGGAAGCCTATGTCCCACAAAGGCTGGATTATGCACAGCAGAGGACTGTAACAGCCAAGCTAAAAATAACTCAGAAAAATAAACTCATTTTCACTTCAATTTTGTATTCAAAAACTAGAAGGAGAATTCTTTATCACTAAAAAGTAGTGTGACTTAAGAGAAGTATCTGAGTTAGCGCTTCAATATCATTTCTTGTCAGGATGTCCCAGTAATCCTTCTACTTAGGTGATGCTACAGTGAGGACCTAGCCTTGTGTAGCTGGGCTGTGTCTACAGAATCTTGGCAGCTATTTTCACAGCTAGACCACAACACAAATAAAGAGCATAAGGCATAGAACTCAAATATCTTAATGTATATATCCACTTTTAGGCAGTACTAGCACTACAGATCATTTTTTAATTTCCAAAAGGATCACAGGCTTTGATGGCTTCAGTTTTAAAGTAAAGAAGAGTGGGTCTGGGGATTTTGGACTTTCCTTCTGAGGAACGGTAGAAGAGATCCAAAGGAACCCTTGGATCCAGAATGAAAAAATACTTAGGAAAAATGGAGGCCCTATCTGAACAACATTTTTAGGTCACCAGGATATCCTTCAACAGCCTTGATCTGCCAAACTGTAAGCTCCTTGAAGGCCAAAGTGCTTTCTTACTTTTCTTTGTTTCCCTGGTGCCTACCAGAGTTCCCAGTATAGAGCTGGAACTTAGCAAATTATGTTAAAATGTGATGGTAAAAACAGATGGGAAGGCTGATCTCCAGAGACTAGAAGGAATGGCTGTAACTAACACACAATGAAATAGTAGCTTTGTGCTGACCCAGAAATGTCCCAGTTATATACAGAGTTCTATGGTTATTCACACAACTTTAATAAAGAAATAATAGAAATAATAAATAATTTTAAATTTCCCAAAGGCTCCAGGACTTTACATCTGAGAAAGAAAACAGTTTCTACACAGGCTCTTGAGTTTGTAAATAAGAAAATATTGTTGGAATGAAACGTAGCTGGGTGCAATAAAAATTCACTTTATGTTCTTTATATTTCCGAGGAAAAAACAAACCAAATAAAGGTAAAAACTCTCAAAAAGACTCCCCAGTCCTATATCTAGCAATGGGTCAAAAACTGAGGCAACAAGAATTTTGAGATTTCTTATGAGAAACTCTAGTAAGAAAAATACAATGACTCATTTCATAATAATGCCCTTTCTTCCCAAAGTACACATCACAGTTCCCACATCCCTAGCACACGGGCACTCTGTGCAGAGCTATTGCAACACAGGGGATCTCCCTGCACCAAAGTCCCTGAGTGGACAAGAGAAATGCCAAAAGTGACAGCAGGGACAGACCTCCCTGGCGCTGCGGTGCTTAGGGGCAGTGTGGCTGTATCGCCGTATAAAGGAGGGGGATTACCCCCTTTGTACTGCCTGATCTGGAACAGCAGTTCTTTTGTGCAACCACCTTTAAGAACTGGGGAGCTAAGTGCAGCTGGCTTCCTTGTCTACAGGTTCAAAGAATCCCTTGACAGAGTAGTTTTGAATAGACGTTCCCAGATTTCCTAACAAATTGTCACTTAGACACTGAGAATCCAAAAAAAAAAAAAAAAAAAAAAAAAAAAAAGATGAAGGAAAGGGAATGTGTTCTCCTCAAGGCTACAGCACAAGTAAGGCACCCAGGCTGTTGCTCAAGTACTAGTTCACTCCCCTGTCACTTCTGTGGCTACAGTGAATTAATAGTTACAGAGAAACAACTGAAGTTTATTGCCAAAGAAATCTCTCCAATATAACTATTGCCAGAACCAATTTTCCCAGCCTTGCCCAGTCATGTGTTCCTCGGAATTGCTACCAAGAGAAAATGAAATGGATCCTGACCTTTGGTGAATATTCATGTAAAGTGATAAAAGAATTCAAAGCTTGACGGAAGTCTAGGGGATACTCACAGGAGCCTGACATCACCGACTCTGTGCATTTGAAGTACAGAACAAGTGATAAGAACGCCTTCTCTCAGGCAGAAGGCAGTTCTGGAAGGGAAGAACTGTTTATTGATCCTTAAATAGCTGAGACAGGCAGACTCTGCAGAGGTCAAATATCAATGAGAATTAAACTACAAGACACTTCTGGTAGAAGGATGGTGTAGTTGGCTTGATGGGCCATTTGTGGGAGAGAGACCTTTACTTGACCTGGGTCTTTTATTGTTTCTAGTAACAACAGGCCTGAGGAAGTGGTGGATTGGAGGCCTGTGAGGAGGGTGGGTACAGAGGTGAGCAGGCTAGGCAGGGGGTGCGCAGAACTTGAGCCCAGATATGAAGCTGTTGAGTAGTGCCAGGCTTTAGCTGACACATGTGGCTGGGAAAGTGCGTATGTGAAGAGACAGAGGTGGAGTAAATGAGCAACTGAAGAGACAGAAACTGATGACAACTAAAGACAATCACTCAAAACAAGGAACGAGCCTCAATGTGGAAATGGTATTTTCCTCCTAAGTTAACGTGCTTAACTCTGGTCATATTATCGCTGGTTATCAGAAATTTTAAAGATAAAGAAGTGGAACTCACTCATGTAAAAGGCTGAGACTGGTGAGCTTTTCAGAATGAAAATTCTCAATGTTTAGGAAGCCCTCCAGATTATAGGATTTATATGACAGCTGCTACAGAAAACTTACATCTGTATAAATACCAAGGCCCCTAAGGGGGATAATATTTCATTTGTATTGAGATGTTTTAATCCCTCCTTAATAATTTAAGATATTAAGTATTAATATTACATATCAGATACAAGATCTAATTTCTCCTGTATTTTATTTGAAAGTAATAATACTTTCTGGTACAGTTAATTGTTGTTTTCTTAAACCATAGATCAATTTCTTCCTTGTTCTGAATCAGTTAAGCTATATTATATTTTAGATGTATGCCAATGGCATTACCACTTTAGTATTTATTAGTTTATGAAGATAACTCAACATCCTGGAAATATTTCAAAAGACAAACCTTATACTTTTCACCAAATTTGCCTCGTTCATTTAATGTGTATTCTTAAGAGTCTGACTGATGGATGAAGAAGAGGAAATATGAGCCACACTGGCTGTTGTGAAGGGTTTCTCTGCACCAAATGCAGTACTTTTCCTGGGTCTCTATTCACCCGTGTAGTCTCTGAAACACTCTTCTTATGTATTTATTTAAGATGAGATAAGAAGCTGGTTTTAGACGATGTGGGCCAGATTTCAGATTTCATATGGATTAAAAAATAATAAACATCAAGGGTAATCTAATATTTCCATAAATTATTTTAGAAGCATAATAATCATGTCATACTTCATGGCCCGGTTAATGTCTGCTGGATTTTTTTTTCTGTTTGTTAAAGATTCAAGTCATATGTCCCTGTTTGTTAAAGATTCAACTGATAAATCCAAAAATATGAAAAAATGTCCGTGTAGAATTCAGGCAGACTGGACTGTGATTGCAACAAACACGCACATATGCAACAAGAAAACTTTCAAGTGTACATGTTCACCTTAAAAGACAAAGCAGTAAGCTGCAGTTCTGAGTCAGTTTTCTTTATCTATTTGTCTGAAGAGACAACTCCAATAAAACAGAAACAGGCCCTGTTGGAGCTCAAGACTTAGCATGAGAAAAGGGAGAGAGAGATGGAGACAGAGAGAGAGAGAGAGAGAGAGAGAGGGAGAGAGAGAGAGAGAGCGAAAATGAACCCTATCAGCTATGAAATAATACACTGGGGAAAAGTACTGGTTCTCATGAAAATGTCGGTGATTCACCATGGAATAAAATTTAAAAGCCACTGACCCCAATGAAAGCCTCCAGTGGAAACATGTGGATTTTGCTTCATTTCACTTAAAGACTTTTCTTTATTTCATTTCAACACTATCATAAGCACCATCAGTTTTTGTGATGTGTTGCTTTCTCATTTAAAATTGATATGGAAAAGGTACTGCTGGTTAAAATGGTCTTCCGGAAAAGAACAATGCACAAATTAGCCGATGTTACCAGTTAAAATAGGTAGGCCTTCCTGTTCTCTTAAAACATTTTTTTACAGTAACTCAGCATTTGAGCAGACTTGTTTGTTTATAGAATTTTTTCATACTCACCAAATCTTCATTCTGATTTGCCAGAAGATCACAACTGAATGCAAGCTGACTGACACAAACCACAAATCTGTCAGGGAATACATGGAGCTCTGTATAAAATGAAGAAAAGCAAGTTAGTAAAGGCATTAAAAAGCTATAAACACAGAAATGGTTGTTCCAGATTTTGTGTTCATTTTAAGTTACTGAAATATGCATATCCATATGAGACACACGTCTCTTCTCTCCTCCCATCCTTTCAGTGTTTGCCATCAATAGGGCAGGGTAAGCACAAAGTTCCAGGGAGAGCTGAAAAAGCTGCAAATTGGTCCACCTGAGCCCCGGGACCATGACATTGCAGGAAACCCCCAGGCAGAACCTCTGCAGCCTCACCTCTGTGTCAGTCTGATGTTTTCTGATTAGAACTCCTATTTGGAAAATAGGATCAATGTTTCCAAAATGAGCATGTAAGACTTACAGAGGAAGAGGAAGAGTATTAGATAAAATCTAAAAATGTGACCCATCAACGTTTTTACTAGTTACTTTACTTATCATCTCCTTGGTCAGCTAGTCTTAGAGAGGTCCCCAACACTCTAAGTGGGCAAACTACTAATCTGAATCAGGCTGGGAAAATAGCAGCTTCTCTTACAAATTAATGATCCAACTATTTAGAAAATGATTAAATATACAATAAAGATGATAAAATTACACCATAGTCATAGTAATCTATTATTGCTGCTTCTTAAAACAAAACCGCAACTTCCCATTGGGAAAGACTGAATGAATCACTGAACTGGACTCCTCAGCATTCAATGAAAGGAACAGAAGATGGTAATGACATCTGGATCTTTCCTTCTCTCATCAGTCTGTCCATCCATCCATTTGTTCCTCAGCCTCCAGCTACCCAGGCATGATGTCTGGAGTGATGCTGGGCTGATGCCAACAGTGTCTGTTCCAGGTGGGAGGGGAGGGGGCTCTTCTCCCTTTTTCATGTTTGGTTGTACTACTTGAATATTTTTATGATACACGTCTGATATTTGTGATAGAAATGAAGTCACTTTTCTAACAAAGAAAGCTTCCCTCTTACATGAGACCAGTTTTTTTTTAAAGATGGATATTATGAATCAAGTGAGTAAAGCCTTTTATATACATTGCACACAACAGCAATGACTGAGGTAAAACGTATCTCAATCTGATGCACCGCTTGGAAGCCAAGCAAGAAGGTGTCAATTACATGGACACAGAACTTAAACAAGTTAACACCTTACACTACTAGGCTGGCTGAAATGATCCCAAAAGGCCTAAGCAGTTGTTGGTCCAGTAACAGCTCTCTCCTTACCCTGTTCACCACTGCAGTCTCCTTGGCAGTCACCCTCCCTATTCCAAGTTATCCTATTCAGAACAGCAGGTTAACAGTTATTAAAAAAAAGAGCTCTACTCATCCTGCTCAAAAACCTACCATGACTCCTCAGTGCCCAACATGCAAAGTCCTCCATGATTAAAGATTAACCTAGTGTTCTGGTCTTACTGCCAACTAGTCCTCCTCATGAGGAAAGGCCCCATTTCAGGTGGGGCCTGGGTGTTTTTAAACTTTGACCTCTTGTGGGTATGATATCTGGCTAAATGACTAGAGATGGACCTTGAGAAGCCAGAAGAATAAAATTAGCAAAGCAATTAATATTTATTCATTAGTTCTTGACAAATCTTATTGAGATAAGTGGTATATAGCCTGTTTATCATTCTATGGGAGGGAAAACTGAACCACAGAATTCATTATTTGTCCACCCTCCCCCTGAAAAATCATAATATTGAAATACAACAGTTCATTAGTGGATCAGAACTGGAATTCAAAATTATCAGTTCTATCAAAAACTTCTTCTGTGTTTGCATTTCTTCCTCTGAAAGGTAACAGTGCTAGAATGGCAGATTTTTAACATTTTGGTGCCAGGTAGTAACAGAAAGCAACTTCTCCACCGTTTTGTTCTGTTTAGGTCATTATTGAGAAGTTGTATTATTTTAATATTTAAATAAAGATTTAGGCAATAACAGTCCTTACTATAAAGGGTACAGATACAAGGTTAGCTGACATTTTACTAGAGAATTGAGCAAAGTGGAAGACCTTGTTAAGAAAGCAATATATCTGAGGCTCGACACGTTGGCTCATTGCTGTAATTCTAGCACTTTGGGAGGCCAAGGAGGGAGTACAGCTTGACCCCAGGAGTTTGAGAACAGCTTCAACATAGTGAGACCTCTTATCTACCAAAAATTAAAAAAAAAAAAATTAGCCAGGCGTGGTGGCACACATCTGTGGTCTCAGCTACTTAGGAGGCTGAGGTGGGAGGATCATTTGAGCCTGGGAGGTTGAGGCTGCAGTAAGGCATGATTGCACCATTGCACTTTAGCCTGGGTGACAGAGTGAGACCCTGTCTCAAAAACAAAACAAACAACAGCAAAAAAGAGAGTAATATATTCGAGCAGAGTTTAGAGTTAAGAAAATGGAGATAATCATGATGATTCCACAGCAAGCCTCTATCCAGTTAATTTTTTAAAGTGTGTTTCATATCTTATATGCATACTGAAATCGTTCATGGAAGGTAACCTATATTTTCTTCCTAGTACTCAGATCAACCTGGAGAGTGATCATTAGCTTCTGACTTTACTGTTGCTGGCTGGACAAGTTTGAAATCATGTCTTTAGTGGACGTCTAGATTTGGGGAAGTGACAAGGAAAAGTGGTCTCATCACACACTTAGGGAAAGCTCTGAAAGCTGTGAGCTGAGAAAGTGCTTTCTTGTGTACACACCTGCTCCAGGGCCTTGGTGTGCATAGACAATGCTGAAGTGATTCATAGTTCAACCGTGTTGAGTCACTCAAAGAAAAGTGCTGAGATGCAGCAGGAAAGGGAAGCATGATGTGGCCCAGCTCACCGTTCTCAGAGAGGCAGTAAACACAGTACAAGCTGGGAGGAAAGGAATTACAAACTTTTGGACACACACAATGACATGAAGGCAATGAAGCAAATAGGACTTTCATTCCTTAATTTTCATCCTTTCTCTATCTAGGGCAAGCAGATTGTGTGAAATGTCTGACAACCCAAGAAATCAGCTTCTTACCAGCATTCTGTGAGCTCCTGATGCAGCGAAGGCGTATCCCTCTCTTGAGGAAATATGCTATGATTTGAAAGCCATAACCTGTAAAGTGAAAGGGAATGTCACTAAGTTACAAATTTGTTTGCCACTAAATCTCTGGGGCTCAGCCCAGTGCCTGCCATATAAGATGCACTCAATAATTATTTAGCAAATGAGCCTGGGTGTGGTGGCTCACACCTGTAATCCCAACACTTTGGGAGGCTAAGGTGGGTGGATCACTTGAGGTCAGGAGTTTGAGACCAGCCTGGCCAACATGCTGAAACCCTATCTCTGTTAAAAAAAAAAAGAAAGAAAAAAACTGTCCGGGTGCAGTGGCTCACGCCTGTAATCCCAGCACTTTGGGAGGCCGAGGCAGGTGGATCACAAGGTCAGGAGATTGAGACCGGCATGACCAATACGGTGAAACCCCGTCTCTACTAAAAATACAAAAATTTAGCCAGGTGTGGTGGTGCATGCCTGTAATCCCAGCTACCGGAGAGGCTGAGGCAGGAGAATCGCTTGAACCTGGGAGGTGGAGGTTGTGGTGAGCCAAGATCGTGCCATTGCACTCCAGCTTAGACAACAAGAGGGAAACTCCACCACCACCCCCCCAAAAAAAAGCTATCTGGGTGAGGTGGCAGGCACCTGTAATCGCAACTACTCTGGAGGCTGAGGCAGAAGAATCATTTGAACCTGGGAGGCGGAGGTTGTAGTGAACTAAGATCACAGCCAGTGTACTCCAGCCTGGGTGACAGAGTGAGATTCTGTCTCAAAAAGTAATAATAATGATAATTATTATTATTTTGCAAATGAAATAAAGGAATTAACAGAGGGCTTCTCTTGAGAGGCAAGGGTGAACATTATTACTATCTTGCCTCTTCCAGGAGGCCTGACTATAACACCTGGCATACTCCCTAGTCCCTGAAGTGGCTCAGTTACTTCATCTGTAAAATGAAATAAATGAGGAGGTGTAACGTGCCTGAAAATCAGGACTTTCGGATGGGATAGTTCAGTCAGAGCTTGTGAATAGATAATAGCCAACTTCTGATACTCACTGCTTATTAGCTCATAAAAAGAAGCAGTTCATATCTATTTGAACATGGGTGTATTTTGCCTGTAAATAAATTAATTCAAGTATGTCAAAATCTTTACATAGAATGAGATGAAAAGAGATATGACATGAGTAAAAAAATAATTTATCCAACTCACTAGAGTGGCCTAAGTGAAAAAGAGCATTAATTGTTGACAAGAACATAAGACAACTGGAATTCTCATACACTGCTGGCAGGAGTATAAATTGGTACAGCCACTTTGAAAAAAATGCTTGGGTATCTAAAGCTGAACTTGAGCATGAACATACAGTGTTCACAATAGCAATCTTCACAACAGTCTAAACCTGGAACCAATGCAAATATTCATCAACAGTAAATTTTCTTTAATGGGGATATAGTCACACATTGAAATACTATATTGCCTCTAAAAATGAATGAGCTACAGTTACAGGTAATAACACAAATACATTTCATAAACATAATGTTACATGAAAGAAGCTTGATCCAGAAGAGAAAATGCCATCTGTGAAAATGGAGATATTATCATTCATCTTATAGGGTGGCAACAAATTTTCAGATGATTCACAGAAGGTGCCAGCATAATTCCTTCCTCCCTCCCTTTCTCCTCTCTTCTGTCTTCCCTCCAGGTATAAAACCACTTTGTTAATGACTTTCTTGAAAAGATCAAGTAAAACTGTTCCTGGTTATCATAGTCAGCAGTCAAGTTATTTGGGAGAAGAAGCAGAAGTAAAAGGTCTCCCAGAGTGAGGTGAGGGTCCCCTGGTCAAACTGGAGCATCCAAGGGTTGCAAGAAGTAATCTCTAGAACCATTAGATTCTCCAAAGTCCATGATTATGATTGTTCTGAAATAGCTTATATAAATCATACAATTAAAGAAGTTTCCACTTTCATATTCAGTATCCTTCCGACACTCCTGTAGAAGGACCCAGGACATCAGTGACCGCAGACTTGATGCTGTCTAAGCAAGCAATGGCTCTAACAGAACAATTGCTTTAGTCATGCGGATTGTGTAATAACAGTGACATCTATGAAAGGATAATCTCCGGATTTACTGAGATAAAATATATTTTTTCCTAACACACTTGAAAACAGATCACATTTCAGTCATGTGGCTTTCTTCTGCTTAAAATGTCAAACAAAATATACACACCACTGACATTACTCTGAGTGTTTTTTTAAAGAAATGTCATTTCTTAGGTCACTGAGAGAATGGAAGTCATTTCTACATCTGTTTATTTGTCCTACTGCTGAGGAAAGAAGTGGAGTCCTTAACAATTTGGGACTCACAAACACATATAGCGAAAATTAAGTCTTTTTCAAGTAATAATTTATAATGTGAGTCACTGAGCAAAAAAAAAAATTTATATATATATATTAGTATCTAAGTTATTCTACCTTTGCTGATCTACAGTTCTAAGTGATTACGATTCAGAAGCCATGCTCAAAATTTGAAAAATCTTCTTCCTATACAAAATCTCCAGCAATAAAATATTATTCTCAGGAAGGGGCTAAATCTGAAGTTGACCATGAAAGCTACAGTTTTGAGTCCAGGAAGCCTGGTGTCTTAAGATACCACTTGAGTGATAACTAAATCCTATTTGGACTGCTGAATAATCAACTCTTAATATGACATCTTCCCCTATAGAAAAAGAAAGCAGTATAAAGCAGATTCCAAGTGATCTGCTACTGAAATTTGTAGGAGAAATCAGTTTATTGAAACCTTGCCTCCTATACCTGCCACCCCCAGGACAGAATTAGGTTAAAAGGAATCATTCCTAAATGGCATCATCTTGTTAGTGGTTTCAATGGAGAACCTGCCCAAATGGCACCTACAAGAGAAATAGCAAGTTTACATGTAGAAAAGATTTGCACCTGCTTAGTCCAAATTCCACTGGTCATATGAAACTTTATTGTTTAAAGAGAAACTTAAGGAGAGATTAAACACAAAAGGTACTGTGTCAGTTCTTATGGCAAACTGAATTTGATAGGTAAACAGAGAAAATTGATGCTTGAAACATACTAAACTGAAATGCTTAGGAAGGTGTATTTCATTTATTCATAGATAACAGGCAATGATAAAGACTGCATTCTTATCTTTGCTCTTTATGAAACTGACTTCAGAGAGTTCAGTAGGCCACTGAGATTTTGTACGTACCCAGGGCTAAAGCAAAGCTCCACTACTCTCTAAAGCTAAACAGCAATTTGGCAAATAATCCAAGTGGCGTTTTGCTTTTCCTACTTGGGGCACCAGCTCCCAGCTTGCTAACATTGGTGTTTTAAATGCAGAAAACCTGAGTCAGTAGAGCAAATGGAAATCATAAAGTGATAATCTTTTTATCTGAAAACTACTGGATGATGGTATTAAGATTATGAGGCACTTGCAAATCAGATTTCAGTATGCCTGTTTTCTTGCTGGCGATTGTGGTCCTCCTAAATCTGAGAAGACTGTCTTTAGACATAGGAAGAGACTTGGGTTAGAGGGAGGAAAAGCTTTGTAACAGAAACATCTTACCACCAGGCGTTTTCAGGTATGTGCATTTCCAGAAACAATTTATATTTTTCAATTGTTTAATGTAACACAATCATCTAGTATCAGCAAGATACTTCTCCACTGGCCTCCAAGCAGCCCAAAAAATCTCCAGTTCCTGTGCCACCATTTACACTCTGTATGTTGTAAAACGCTGTTGAACTTCTCCCTATCCTTCTATAAACAACCTCCAAAGCAGCAATGAAGCCCCAAATGAATACTTGTTACCACACTAACTTTGTTCAGGCTTACCTAACTTGTTCATCAAAAACTATTAAGTCTCTTTAAAAAAATGGGGAGGTGGTTGATCATACTTATGAGAGAAAGAAAGGACAAACCAGAGTCCTGCTACTATTTTATTTCATATTCTGTCTAAAATAAGCTGCCCCAAAATGGACCTACTAAAAATCTGCAGTCTTCATAAACAGAAAGGCAAAAATTATGACAAAAAAACTCAAATATGAGTTGAACAAATTCCATCCTGGCTTAGCAAGGCAGTAGATTAGTTTCAAGTAGTACCGTGCTCCAGTGAGTAATGGTTTTAAGGGAGTGGTCATTTATTTGGGTTGTTACAGTTCACAGTCCCAAGACACTGAGAGCAAATATTCAATGAGAGATTTTACTGTAAAACTATCCAGTCTCACTTGTTTTCCAGGGGATTCATAGCCAAGGCAAGTTGAGCTTCCCCACAGCTGCCAAGGGGAGTCTGTGGTCCGGTGTTTAACAGTGGGAAGCCCTCTCCCACAGCTATTACAAGCCACTCATGGAGGAGCCTGGGAAAATGCCTCTGTGTGGCCTGCTGAGCCATCAGGACCACCGGGGCAGGTGAACTCTACTTCATTGTGGACCCCACCCACCACCTGTGTGGCTCTCTTCCATCAAAGCCTTCTCCTAAACTACAAGGCAGGCTCAGGGAGAACTACAATGCCCTCAGTACTTCTCTCCCTGAGATGACTCCTTCATTATTATCATCACTCACGCAATCTGACACATTTCAAACATTCAGAAAAGTAGAAAAATAGTGTCATGAACATCCCAAAACCCACCATCTAGATTCAACAATAGTAAAGATTTTGCTGTATTCCATATACACATTTTCTAAACTCTTTCAAAGTAGGCATCATGAAACCTTACTCCTAAACATGTAAGCATAGCTCTTGAACAATATGGAAATTTTGCTTCATCACCATGACACTATTATTACAACTGAGTATGACGTGATAGATCAAATAACCAGTCTATATTCAAATTTTTCCATTGTCCCAAAATGTGTATCACTGATCTGATTTTCCCTTGAATCAGATCCAACCAAAGACATGGATTTTAAGAGATATATTTGCTTACATCTCCTTTAATCTAAAATAATCTCCTGTTACCTCTTAAAAAAAGAACTCTGAACTTTTAAAGAGATCAGGTTAGCTGTGTTACAGAACAACCCCTTCCTATATTTGAATTTTTGTTTT